CTACCAAAAAAGATTGAGAATCTCTTTAGTGATGGTGGAGGAGTTGAGAATGAAGAAATTTTTTATTTTGAGGATTCCAACCCCCTTCCATATCTTTAAGAGTCTACTTTGCATTTTTGTGACCCTTCTATCCATGAGTCTTTGGACTCTTTTAAGGTTATTTCTAGTATATTCATTGAAGGAGTAACAAAACACTATAGCCTTTTGAGAGAGTTCATTAGCAATCTTCATTAGAAAGAGATGAGTTTGAGAGTAACCTTTATCCTTTCACGCATGGTTTGAGACTCTATACTTTGAGCTTGATGAGGAAGTTGTTGTGCATCGGTGTGATAGAGAGGATGATGAGGTTATTTCTCTTGAAGAGTTTTTGTTTGAGGGAGATGTGAGTCATGAGTTTTCTTTTGAGATTTCTATGACTGATTTTCATGCCCTCATAGGTGATGTGAGGCTTTGTGAGACCATTGTTTCTCCTCCCCTTTCTCATGTCCCTTTTTCAAGGAAATTTGACCATATCTCCTATCATCCTATGTTCCTTCTTTAGTTGTAGAGCCTATTGAGGACCCTTTCGTCTTTGATGAGACTCTTCCTTCTCATCCTCCAATTATTAAGGAAATGGGTAATTGTGCCACCCAAAAAGAATTTGAAGAGGTTTTGCTTTTTTATTCTTTATCTTCTTCCTCTCCTTCTTATTTTTCTTCTTATTTTCTTAATTTTTCTTTTGATTTTTTTCTTTATTTTGGCATCTTCCTCCTCACATATGTGCAATAATCTTGTTACACGTTCTTATTTACTAATTTTCATACTTTTTATCTTATGAAATGATTAGTAGTGCATTTGACAAGCTCTTGCGTGCGTAGCAATATTATTTACTATAGCGATCTCGATTGGACGTTAAATAAGCCTTTTTCGGGAAGTAACCCGAGTTTTTATTGCTTTCATTTTACTTTCTTTTTAGATTAGATTTTCTCTCATGGAAATGTTTGTGTGCCCCTTGCTAGGTACATGACTTGATATACTCTTATGCAATGGTTTGGATCAAGAATCAAGGAAGTTTGACGCCTATTTCTGCTAGCACATGGAAACCAAGATTCAATTCAAGAAGAAATTGGCTTTGAAAGGTTAAATTGATTCATTTGCGGGTATTTACACCCACCTATATCTGGTAATATCTTTCCTCGCTCTTCCACTAATGGTTAGTGACTTGGTGGATATATGTTAGTTTGTTGGATTGATTTCTTTCTTTTCCCCTCCCTTGGACTCTTTGGTTTATGTTTGAGCATATTGTCTCATTCAAGCTTGGTGGAGGGTATTCTATCATGTTTGGTGGGATGTTAATTCATTTATGCCGTGCACTTAAGTATATGCATTTCCATATCTTTTCTTTTATTTTAACAATTAATGAGTGTCTTTTATGGCGCTCTTAGGCTAGGTTTTATTTGTAGTTTTATACTCGTTTTTATTCTTTTATGTAGTGTTTTTACATAATAATGTTGGTTTTGCGTGTTTGTGTGTAAGTTTAGAGATATGCATACTTGTAGTGCTTTTCTTGTTATTTTATTCATTTCTTGACTATTTCTCTCGCTTATTCGTTTGATTGACTTGTTTTGTAGGTGTTGAGTTTCCCGAGGTTTTATTACCAAGGAGAAGCTCGAGCGCATACAAGGAGTTTGATGGAGATAAGTTCGGGAATCCAAACATGCAATTGAAGCTACCTCCGCAAGCGCTTTGGCTCGAAGTGTTCAAGTGCTTGTAAGATATAAGAGCTTCCCTTCTCACGAGCATCGCCTTGAGTGCACCAATGATAGGGATGATCGAGAGCGCAGAGGTTAATTGAGTAAGCGAAGAAGGCAGGCCACGAGAACCAAAGCAGGGGTACATGCGCGACATATGTGGTGCATGCGCGTAGACCAAGGTGTGCGCGCGTGCGGCCTGGGTGGTGCGCAAGCACTAGGAGACCCGATCCCTTTCGCTCGATTTTCTATTTATAGCTTTTGACTTTCCTTTTTTTAGGGAGACGACTTATTTTGTACTTGACACTTATTTTTCTAGAAATAGTAGAGAGATAAAGTAGAGAGAGAAGCCAAATATTACTTTATTGTACTTGAATTTGATCTTTGATTTCAATTTGATCCTGGATTTCTTCTTCAATTGATTGAAAACTTGTGAAATTTTTTTTCCTTTCAATTTACTTTTATTGCAATTTCCTTTAATTCTTGAATGTTTGGTTTTAATTTCATTATTTGCTTTAGAATTTTATGAGTGATTGAATTTCTTCTTGATTAAACTTGCAATGAATATGTTTGTGATTGAATTTGTTTTGTTTTTCAATTTCACCATGAATAGTGAGTAGATTAGTTGCTAGGAAGAAAGGGAAGCATGCTTGATTGATGATTTTTCTAGTTGATGATCCTTGATTGATTGAATTGTTGCAATTAAATTGGTTAACATAGTTGTGCATGTGATTACTTAGACTAGGATTAATCAACCTATAACATTTATCTAGATTGCATTACAATTTTCAATATGAACCCTTGATTTGATAATTGCTTTAATTGATTGAATTTTATTGTGATTTTCCTTGATTGTCATTCATAGTGAACCCTTGTTTGGTTTATAGTGGATAGCTTTTGAATTCCATTTATTGCAACTATTGTTTGTCCTTTGTGATGTTTGAATTGATTGAGTGATCCATCAATTAGCATAATCATTGAGCTTACATGTGAAACCTATATCCTTAATGTTTAGTATATTGAATTAATTGAGTATTTTAGCTCTCTTGATACCTTAGTTACAAACCATAACCTTCTTTATTCTTCGAAATAGCTTGACATAGGCTATAGCTTACACCTACTCATTCCTTTAGGTTCGACCCTTGACTTACCATATACTCGTATTAAGTTGGTCGAGTGTTTACCAAATTAGTTTGGCTCTAAGAAAGGGTAGAAAATGACTTACATTTTCCTTGCGTCCAAATGGCGTCGTCGTCGGGGAATGATATTGGTGCTTTGTTATATTTGTTGAGTCTATTTCATCCTTAATTGAAAATAACAAAAATATTTTTCTTTTAGGCTACACTTGTAGCCGTGCTACTAATCATTTCTTTTGAGATTGTATGCATAGAGCACCTGGTCATTCACTAGTGCCATTTGATCCGGAGATTGAGAGGACTATTGCAAGATTAATGGTTGCTAGATGATCTTTAAGTTCTACCACTTCAAGTGAAGAAAAACCAAAACAAGAAGAACAAGTAAGAGTGGGAGAAAATCCAAGGGTGGCATTGAAAAAATTAGGGATTCTTGGTGTTTACAGGTTTGAGAGTGGTATTGCTCCACCTAAAACAGCGGAGAATGATTTTAAAGATATGGCCGACAATGATCACTTTGATAGAGAGGCGAAAATTTAGTGGGTCCAACCATGAAAGCCCACTAAATCATCTCAAGGAGCTCGAAAAATATTGTAATTCTATCAAGGTGAATGGAATTCCCCAAGAATTCATCCGCCTCAAGCTCTTTCCCTTTTCCCTCATACTGCATGCCTTGGAATGGCTAGACAAGGAGGTTAAGCTGAATTCTCTAAGGACATGGGACGAAGTGACCAAGGAGTTTCAATCCCGTTTCTATCCACAGAAGAAAACGGCCGAGGCTAGAGCTTTGATTCAAGGTTTCAAACAAAAGCCTAGTGAGAGCATGTATGAAGCATGGGAGAAATACAAAGAGTATTAAAGGGAATGTCCTCACCATGGAATTCCTACTTACAATATTATTCGAATATTCTATGGAGGCCTTAGTCCTCAAGTAAATCATTTCTAGATGGAGGATCCGGAGGTCCCATCATGAATAAATGGAAGAGGAAGTGGTAGACATAATTGAAGACGTAGTGAGATAATATAGAGATTGGCAAGATGGAGAAAGAGAGTCAACTAGCATGAGTAGATCTTCGGTGTACTCGGTTGATCATCTAAATGCAATAAACAATCTCTCCTCACAAATGACAAACTTGGGGCAGGAAATGTCCTCTATCAAGGCAAAGTTGGAAAGTTCTACCTCCCAAGTCTCGTGTTTTCCCTCCCAATCTAAGGGGAGAGGTATGTCTTCTAATCCTCAACCCTCTCCCTTTTTTAGTAATATACCTATTGCATGCTTGTTTTGTGATGTTTGTGGATCATATGATCATGATGCTTCTAATTGCCCTTATGCATGTATGGATGTTTGTGATGATCAAGATGGAAATTTGAATGAGCATGTGAACTATGTGTTAATTAATAAGGATTCAAGGTTTGAGTATAAAAGAGGTCAATGGAATTGGAATTACAATAACCATGACAATTTTGACAACTACCACCAAGGTGGTGGTAATAGGAACCATGAGAACCAAAACTCCTGAGATAACTATAACAACCAAGGTTATAATGGCCAAAATCAAAACCAAAATTATGGTAATCATAACAAAGGTTATGGTAACCATAATTAAGGTAGAGGTAATTGGAACAATCAAAATAGGGGAAATTTTCAAAATGACTCTTAAAGGGGTCCCACACCCGGATTTGCTTCAAAGACCCAAAATGATAATTCCTATGTTCAATTATTATTTTCTTCCTCTAGGACTAATTTGGAAGAAATCATTGAATATCAAACGAAGTTGTTGAACACTTACATGGCCGTAAGTGACAAGAAATTTAATGAAATGATGACTCATAATAAGATGCTTAAAAACCAAATTTCTCAACTTGCTAATGCTTTGAAAAACCAAGCTTGTCCTTCTTGTTTACTTTCCTATGGCCTAGATCCTAAGAGACCGGTAAAAGCTATTGTTACAAGGAGTGGTAATGTTCTTGAGGAGATCTTGCCTAGGAAGAGTAAGAACAAGGAGTCCACAAACGAGGTTTTGGTAGAATATGAGAGAGATGGTGCATCTTTGAGTGAGGTTGAGATTGAGAAACCTAGTGAGGTGAGAGTGGAGAAAAAATTGTGAAATCCAAGCTTCCTTATCCACATAAATTCATGAGACACAAGTTGGATGAACTATTTGGAAGATTTATTGACATGCTTAAGAAACTTCACCTTTCTCTACCATTTACCGAAGTTGTCACCCAAATGCCCAACTATGCAAAACTCCTCAAAGACAATTTGAGAGGTAGGAGGACTTGTGATGTTGTAGAGACGGTGAACTTGACCAAGAATTGTAGTGCAATTATAATTAACAAGATGCCACCTAAGCAAAAAGACATCGGAAACTTTTCCATCCCTTGTGCCATTTGCAAAATTCAAATCGAGAATGCCTTACATGACTTAGGTGCTAGTGTTATCCTTATGCCATATTCGGTATACCAAAGACTTAAGCTAGGGGAACTCTTACCTTCCAACATCACTTTGGAATTGGCTGATAGGTCAATTAAGTTTCCTAAGGGTAAGGTGGGGGATGTCCTTTTAAGGGTTAGGAAATTTGTTATTCTAGTGGATTTTGTGGTTCTTGAGATGGATGAAGATGATAGCATTCCAATCATTCTAAGGAGACCATTCCTTTCTACTTCGAGTGCTATGATAGATGTGAAGAGTGCTAAAATTTCACTTAAAGTAGGGGATGAGGTTATAGAATTTTACTTGAATGATAGTATGAAGTATCCAAGTTCTTCTTTAGAAGATTGCATGTTGATTGATTCTCTTGATCATGTTGTGTCTTCCATGCTTGAGCAATTGCTCACTTCTAATGATGCTCTTGAGAATGTTTTGTTGAGTAAGGAAAATATAGGTGCTCCTAGAAAGGAGATGGCTTTGTATGAAGGTATGCTCAACGGAGGCCTTGAGGATGTTGAAGAGCAAATGTGTTTGAGCGTTTCTAGCCAAGAAGCGTTCCAAGTGGCTACATCAAAGGAAGGTAAAGGTGTTCCAATGGTTGAGCTCAAACCTCTTCCATCACACCTTAGGTATGAATTCTTGGGACCCAACTCCACTTTTCTCGAGGTTGTTAGCTCTTCTTTGAGTGAAAGCCAAGCTCAAGAGTTGTGTTGTGTTTTGAGAAAGCACCAAGGTTATTTGGGTTATAACATTGATGATCTCAAAGGTATAAGCCCTGCTTTATGTACACATCACATAACCCTTGAGGAGGGTGCTCTACCTTCTATTGAGAGGCAACGAAATCTACATCCCTAAATGGGAGAGGTATTGAAGAAGGAGATCACCAAACTTTTGGATGCGGGAATTATATTCCCCATCTCGAGTTCTAGGTTGGTTTCTCCCATTCATGTCATCCCAAAGAAGGAAGGTATGATCGTCATTGAGAATGAAAAAGCTGAGCTCATTCCGACGAGGACGGTCACGGGATGGAGGATGTGTATAGACTATAGACGTCTAAACACATCTACAAAGAAATATCACTTCCTTCTTTCTTTTATTGATTAAATTATGAGAGATTAACGAGGCACAAGTTCTATTGTTTTCTTGATGGTTATTCGGGATTTTTTCAAATCCCTATCCACCCGGATGACCAAGAGAAAACAACCTTCACTTGTCTATATGAAACATTTGCCTATAGGAGAATGTCGTTTGGCCTTTGTAATGCTCCCGTAACATTTTAAAGATGCATAATGAGTATATTTGGAGATAAGTTGGAGGAGGAGATGGAGGTGTTTATGGACGATTTTTCCGTAGGAGGTGTTTCATTTGAGGCATGCCTTGAAAACCTTGAGAAATGTCTAGCAAGGTGTGAGAAGGTGAACTTGGTTTTTAATTGGGAAAAGTGTCATTTTGTGGTAGAGGAAGGCATAGTCCTAGGCCATAAGATTTCTTACAAGGGGATAGAGGTGGACAAAGCGAAAATTGAGGTTATTGAGAAGCTTCCACCTATGGTCAATGTGAAAGGAGTGAGATCTTTCTTAGGACATGCCGGGTTTTATAGAAGATTTATCAAGGATTTCTCGCTCATTGCAAAGCCCCTCAAAGATGTTCTTTAAAAGGATGATAAGTTTGTATTTGATGATAAGTATTTGGAGGCATTCACTAAGTTGAAGAAGGCTCTAATCTCTAGTCCTATTGTTCAAGCCCCAAGATGGGATTTACCTTTTGAGTTGATGTGCGATTCAAGTGATTCGGCAATTGGAGGTTTCTTGGGTTAAAGAGTAGAAAAGAAGCTCCATGTGATCTATTTTTTGTCCAAGACTCTAAATGGTGCTCAACGGAATTACACCACAATGGAAAAAGAATTTTTGGCTATTGTTCATGCTTTTGAGAAGTTCTGTTGTTATTTGTTGGGGCCAAAGACTCTAAAGTACCTTTTTGCTAAAAAAGAATCCAAGCCTAGGTTGATCTGGTGGGTACTTGAACTTCAAACTTTTTACATTGAGAAGCGAAAAATGTTGTGGCGGACCATCTCTCTCGCCTTGAGGATTCTCAAATTCATGATGATGGTTATCCGATTGAGGATAGGATGCTTGGTGACTTCTTATATGCTATTGAGGCAAAGGAGATCCTATGGTTTGCCGACTTATTGAACTTTTTTGCATGTGGGGAGTTTCCACCTTCCTTTACTAAGAATCAACGAAAGAAGCTCAGGAGAGAGGCAAGACACTATGTGTAGGATGATCCCATCTTATACAAGAGAGGAGTCTTACTTAGGTGTTGTGTTCAAATGAAGAGGTGCCTAGTGTTTTGAAGATGTGCCACACTAATCCTAGCACTAGGTGAAAAATGAAGATTGGCACCGCCTTAAGGACACCGGTTTTTCAAAATTAGTGGGAAAAATATGGGAAAAAAAGCGGAGTTTCAAATGAAGATTGGCACCGCCTTAAGATCTTTTCATCTCTCCTTCTATCCCTTCTCTCCCCTCCGTTCTCTCTTCTCCTTCTTCCTCTTCGATCTCTCATCTCTCCTTCTCTCTCCTTTGTCCTCTCTCCTTCGTTCTCCTCCTTCATCCTCCATAAAATCCCTATTACCCAACCACCATCAAAACCACCGAAACTACCCAACTCCACCGGGGAAAAAAACCCATTACCCACGAAATCACCACCACGCCACCACCACACCAGCAACACCAACATCAACAACACCGATAGATTTACTTCATCAACATCAATTTTCGCTCTTTTTCGCAGTTTTTGGGTTTGATTTTTCGAGGTTAGGGTTTCTGGGTTTAATTGATTTTTTAATTGGTATGTTTAATTGATTTTGGAATTTTCTGGGTTTAATTGATGAGTGTTTATGAGTCTATGGTTCCGGTTAATATTTGATTATTCGAGGGTTTCTTGGTTTATGTTTAATTCGAAATTGCATGAGTATTCTGGTTTTTTTTTTATGTTTTTATTTTTATTTTTTTTCGTGTTTTTTGTGAGTTTTATTAATTTTAATCTTGGTGTTCTGATTTTTGAAATTGTATGAGTGTTCTAGTGAAATAGGATGCGTTTTTTAGGTTTTTTATTTAATTTTGATTTTCTAATTTTTTTCGGGGAATTCTTTGTTTATTTTTGATTTTTTTTATTATTATTTTGATTTTTTTGGGGTATACGATGCGTTTTGTTATTTTGAGTTCTTGAGTTTTATTAATTTTGGTATTATTGCTAAGCTTTTGTGGGCTTTAGCTTTTAAGAAAGATAAGCTTTGGGTCAGATGGGTTGATAGTTATTATGTAAAAGGGAGGAATATCTTCACTATGCCCATTCCTAAGTCCTGTTGTTGGAATCTTAAAAAGATATTTCAGGCCAGAGAGTACCTTTCTGGTATACCTTAGTCTGAGGTTATGGTGAAGAATAAGTTTTCTATTGACAAGATGTATCGAAAGTTGCAGGGGCCTTTTGAGAAAGTTTCCTGGAGAAGAGTTATATGTAATTCCAAAGCTAGCCCTCGTAGTAAGTTCATTCTTTGGCTTGCTGTTCAGAATAGACTTGATACTGCTGATAGATTGAGTGCTTAGGGTGTTGAGTGCTCTGTTAATTGTGTGATGTGCCAAGATGCTGATCTTGAGACTGTTGAGCATCTATTTTTTTATTGCCGTTTTTCAGCTGAGATTTGGAGTGGAGTTCTTCAGGCTATTAGAGTACAGAGAAGCAGTTTGCATTTTACAGAAGAATTGAGATTGGCTATAACGATGAGCAGGAAAAGGACATTCCAAGCTAAGTTATACACAATATGTTTTGCTGAGACTGTGTATCAAGTGTGGCTGCAGAGGAATGCCAAAGTGTTTAAGAGTAATTCAGAAGCAAAAGATACTATTATTAGAAGAATCATGTTTAATGTAGCTTGTAATTGTAATGAAGATATGAGGAGATGGCTAGTGTAGGCTCTTAGTGTTGTCCTGTGCTCAGGATTTGTTTTTTAGGGTGCTGGTGTTTTGTTGGATGGTTTGTACTGTACTGCTCTTGTAGCATGTTCTTTGGTTATTAATAAAACTTTAATTTCCAAAAAAAAATTTGGTGTTTTAATTGATGCAGGTATTAGATTATGACTCCACGAAGAATCAGGATCTTTGTGTCAAAAAAAAAAATCAAGATGTTGATTTTGGAATATTCTTTTAGAAGTTAATATATTTTTTTTTATTTTGATGTTGTAATTTTATTTATTTATTAATTTATTTTTATGTTGTAATTTTATTTTTTGTAATTTTTGTATTGTACAATAACAATTTAATGATAATAATATTTTGGATTATATTTTGGTTGATTTCAATGTTGTGTTTCTTACATTGAATTGTTGGATTATATTTCAAGTGGAAAAAACAAAACCAAAAAAAAAATATTTACATGTACATTGCCACCGGTTAACCGGTGGCATTTATATATAATACCAAAAAACAAATAAAGCTGGAAGGGTTATTGCCACAGCTTAACTGGTGGCAATACTTAATTTTGCCACCGGTTTTGAACCGATGGCTTTTCAATCAAATATTTCCACCCCCCAAATGCCCAGCGGTTTAAAATCGATGACATAGGGGGGTTTTGAACCGATGGGGATTTCCTATTTTCTACTAGTGTAGTGGTGGCCATATGGGTGTTTCTAAACCCACCACTAAGATTCTTCAAAGTGGTTTATGGTGGCCACATCTCTTAAAGAATTCATGGGGTTTTGTTAAGACATGCGACCGTTGTCAACGAGTTGGGAATATCTCCAAACTAAATGAGATGCCTCAACAACCTATACTTGAGTTGGAAGTGTTTGATGTGTGGGGAATTGATTTCATGGGACTGTTTCCTTTGTCCTTTGGAAATCAATATATTCTTGTGGAGATGGATAACGTGTTTAAATAGGTAGAGGCCATTGCTTCCCCAACTAATGACCACAAGGTGGTAATGAAATTGTTCAAGAAGATCATTTTTCCAAGTTTTGGTGTACCTAAGGCGGTGATAAGCGATAATGGTTCTTATTTTATTCACAATGCCTTTCAAAAGATGTTGCAAAAGCATGGAGTTCATCAACAATTGAGCCTTCCATACCATCCTCAAACAAGCGGCCAAGTTGAGGTTTCCAATCGTCGAATCAAGTTAATCCATGAAAAGACGGTTGCTCGAAATAGGAAGGATTGGTGGTATAAGTTGAATGATGCTCTTTGGGCCTATAGAAAGGCTTTCAAGACACCTATAGGTACCACTCCATACCGCCTAGTCTATGGCAAATCATACCGTCTCCCAGTAGAACTTGAACACCGTACTTTGCGGGCAATCAAGAAGATAAACTTTGATTTGGCAAGTGCGGGGGAGAAAAGGTGGTTAGATCTTCATGAGCTAGAAGAGCTTCGACTCGATGCTTACGATTGTGCTAGCATTTACAAAGCTCGTTCCAACGAGACTCATGACAGTCTTATTGAGAATAAAGAGTTTTGTGTTGGTAAAAAAGTTCTTCTCTACAATTCAAAAATGAAGTTGTTTCCCGGGAAGCTGATGTCAAGATGAAGCGGTCCTTATTTGGTTAAAAATGTCTTTCCTAGTGGTGTTGTATAGGTTTTAATGATGTATTCTTCGTCTTCGTTTAAGGTCAATGGCCATCGACTCAAGAAGTATTTCGATGGTGCTTTTGTTGGCCTTATTCATATTTTGCTTCTTCGAAAAATACCCTAATAGGTGAAGAACGTGGAGCTATGACGTTAAACAAGCGTTTCCTGGGAGGCAACCCGGTTTTCTAACCTTTTTCTTTTTATTTTTCTATTCTCTCTATATTTCTTTTATTTT